CAGGCAGGGTTTTAACTCGTTAATACCCACCTGGACGGGGAACACTGCCCTAAGACTTCAGCGTTCTAGCTTCTCAGATCCCCGAGTTATGAACATACCCCAAAAAAATTTTGGCGAGCCTGTACGCGGATGTTGGCGCCCATTTTGGGGATTGGGGCCGGCACGTTCATGTAGATTAAGTTCCCGAAATTTCAGCCCCGCAGCTTCTATAGATCCTGAGATGAAAGTGCGTGAGAGACGCACATACAGACACACAGACGCACAAACACACGGACACACAGGCAACCCCTCGTCAGTATGAGTTTTCTGCATTGCACAGCTGCAAAAAACGCATAAAAACTAACGCTATCTATTCATTAATCAGGCTTGTACTGGACAATGAACGTAAATACCGCAGACACATACAGACATAGCAGACAGCAGTGACAGGAGGAGCAGCAGTCATCATATATATATATATATATATATATATATATTACAAACTGGCTGCAGCTAGCCGCGTTTGCATCAGATTGTCTGCTTCTTACAAGCACACACAAACACAGCACCACGGCTTCAGATTTTGAGAGTATTCGGTCGAGACGTTAGTTAACCCCCACCTGTCCCCATTCTTTGATAGGCCTGAAGGATCAAGTGATAGCACTTTAACCAGTTAGCTCAGTTGCAGAATCAAACAAATATTCGAACCTGAGCGGCCATCTATCACTACAACAAGCTTAACAGCTATGCGCGTGTAAAGTTAAAGCAAACTGTGTCGTGCATTCATGGTACAGTTTCCCTCTCTAACGAAAAAAACTCGGAAGAAACAAACCGTAGCATCTTTCATTTCCTCCTCTTCGTCCCTTAAGCGTACACGTTCCTTGTCCTGTTCACGAGATTTGCCCGTACGTTCGCTTTGGCAGTCAGCCCCATGATAAACTGATACTTTGCACTGATAACGAACACCAAATTCAGTAAGTTTAGTTTCATGCCGCTCCGAAATGCGCAATGAAATCGCATCGACAGATCTTCCACCTTCAGTAAAACTCGCAAGATCATCAAAGAAACTGATGCTGTCGAATTTCAGTAAATTTATTCGAAGCAACATAAATTTTATATAACTGACCAGTGTGCCGACTGCTGATGCGAAGATGCGTTTTTTGCACAGTTCCCTGCAGGTTTTCGTTGCTAACACCAGTATTTTTTTCGGCAGATGCTTTTAGCCAGAAGAATTGAGATTAGCCGCCACAACTGTGAGAAAACATTCCCTTAAAGTTTCAGCTATCACACTTTTCTAGTCCCCGACTTTGCAAACCTACCCGCCAAAAACATTCAGGAGTCCATACGCAGGAACCACGCAAACCAGAAGGCTAAGTCTGAACTCATTAAATCCTACGTGGACAGAGGAAATCCCTCTAAAATGCCGGCTTTCTAGCTTTTCAGGTTTCCGAATTAACAACTTACTCGCAAAAAACTTTCACGCGCCCGTACGTGGAAAGGGTACATGCACGTAGATTCAGTTTCCAGTGTTTCAACTTTTAGCTTTTGTAGGTCTCAAAATGAAAAAATGGCAGAGACGGAAACACAGACACATACACATTATGCGTTTTTGCAGTGCAACGACGCCAAAGTAACATAAAAATTAATAGAACTTGCCCGTTTTCCGTTCAAACGAAATTGAACGTTTCACCGATGACATTCTCAAAACTTTCGTTTTTTGAGCATATTTAGTTGGACTAAGCTTTAGAATGTCTGCGAAGTACTGTTGACCTGTTTTCGTACGCCCACGCTTCACGTGAACTGCAATTTTTTGTTAGTATAAAAGGCGTTTCAAGCATTCAGGTATAACGATGCAGCTCTGTTCGGCATGTGAAAGAATCCCACTAACACAGCACTCCACTCCGAGTGATTGCAATATTTTAGATTTAATAACTTACTCATTTCGACGCTTGATAATGGCACTCGTCTTACTCTCTTCGTTATGGGATCCAGTGCAAGAAAACGACCTTCTTCACGGGGCAGCACCACCATCTGATAATGCAGTGAGCATTGCCGCGGTGAGCTGAAACGAACAGATGCATATTCCCCATACAAGTACACCAAAACATTTCAGATCCAGCTTTTTAGTACACTGAATTTCAAGCAGAGACATGTAAAAATTCTGCGGATGCTGCTAACTCCGGAACAGGAAAGCTTGAAAGCTGAAATTTCAAGAGAACGTTCTCCGTCCAAGATTTCAAATTCAGCTACTAAGTCCGAATCTCACGTAAGGGCATGTGGATGTTTTCATATGAAATTATTAAACTGAGAACTGAAAAGGTTAGAAAGCTGAAACTTTTGAGGAGATATTCCACGCCCACGTACGATCCAAAGGTTTCAAATTAAACTCCTAAATACAACTGAATCTCATGCATGGACACGTGAAAATTTTTGACGTGAAATTTACTTGCAGAAACTAATACGGATCACGACTCAGAAAAATGGCTAAAAGGAATTCAATTACTCACCGGTATAAATCTGAAGAAATACCGAGGAAGTATGATACAAAGTCCCAGTTCGAGTATATACCGCTTTTCGTTGGACGCAAATGATTTGGCATCTGCGACACGTCCGTTAAGGCCTAAACTTCATTCATTTTACATCGGCAAACCCTGGATGTGCGGACAGATCTCAGTTCGCCCACAACTTTGTTGAAGTAATACAGTTGTCTGTATTAGCTTTGGAGGCTATTTTTACAGTGGCTTGACGCAGTAGAAAATAGCGTTTCTTTCAAATTGAAAATGGATGTTGCGAATTCATCAGTGGGAAAATAAACTTCGTTGACACAAGGATCAGTTGGTGACTTGTTTCAACGATAACCGATCCTTGTGAGTTAAAACCGCTGCTATGTCATTTCTGAAAGAGCCCGCACAACAGGAAACGAGCAATAACAGCGCAATAGTTGCTTTTGATAATTTGTTATTGCTTGAGATATTTCAAAGTGCTTTTGTCTCTCGAAGAGAATGGAAAAATTTTGACTGTGAACGATTTTAGACGCGGGATTGGACATGTCCTCGATCGCAGCTCGCTGCTAACTACTCATCATCTCTCCCGGCGAAACAAAGCTCGCAGTGTTTAAAGCAAAATTAACGATCAGAGTCAGAAACTCTCTTCATCATTATGCGTTTTATGCTGTATAACAGCAGTACAAAACGCATATTGTCACGGGGTGTGTGTGTGTGTGTGTGTCCCACATTTTGTTCCGCACTTTCAACTCAGGAACCACAAAAGCTAGGCGGCTGAAATTTTAGTATAATGCTCCCCACCAACGTGCGACGTAGCAATTTTAAATTCAGCGTTCAAGCACCCGCGGGTAACACGTGCGGCCCCGTGAAAGTTTTTTACGGGTAAATTAATATCTCGGGAACCACGGGGCCTAGGAAGCTGAAATTTTACGGTAATGACCCCCTGCCCACGCTCAACCTTGCCCATTCAAGTTCAGCGTTCCCGCGCTCTTGAGAATCACCTACGGCCTCGTGAAAATTCTGGCGGGTAAACTATTAACTTGGGAATCACGGAAAGATATTTACCCTTCAAGATTTCGAATTCCGCTTTCATGCGTTGGTGCGTGAAATTTTTAACTGTTTTTCAATGTTTGAACTATTTTTGCATAGAC